TAGCAGGGAAAGAGGTATGGGCCCATCTAGCTAGACAGTGGCCCCTTGTATCCTGGAGAAAGAAAATGTCTAAGGAATGATAGAAAAGGCTTGCTATTCCAACTATAACCAGCAGGTGACAGGACAAGTGTATTCATCTGCCTGGAGATGCTTGGTGATGGAGCTAGAAACTGGGACATAGACTATGGAACCCACCAGAGGGATCTGAGCTCCTGCTGAGTCTGGGCCCCACAGAAGCTTCCTAATGATCCTTCTAATGAGGGAGGCCAGGGACTTGGAAGACTGGATGCTTTCTGCCCAGCAAATGAGGCAACATTTGAAAACATGGAAAAACAGTGGGAGTTAGGGAGCCTGGCCCAGATCATTGGCCGAGAGAAATCCAGGCCAGAGCTGGTTCCTTGCCACTCCACTCACCATCAAGAGCTCCAAAACTTGCTTAGGCTTCTTACTCATGGGAGGTTTCTGCAGCCCAAATCTGCAGGACTCCAGTTAAGCCTTACCCAGATGCCAATGGGAGGTCTTCCATAGTGTGGGCCCAGGTAACCAACCTTGACTTCTGATGCTTGGAGCCAGTGCAGAGCCCTTGTGAATGAGGTCACATTAATTCAGCTGTGTACAGTGGGAGTGATGAAGCGAGCTGGAATTGTGGTGAGCTGGAGAATGTGTGCTCTGCCTAAGGGCAGCTCCCTTGTACAGAGACATATGGGGGGATGGGTACTCAGTTTGGCTGAAAGAGGCAAGTGTTTCAGGTGATGTCAGGAGTTCATGGTTCAAGAGGCTTTCTGTATAATTTTATTTTTTAAAAATATTTATTTTAGGGGCTGGTGAGATAACTCAGCTGTTTAAGAGCACTGACTGCTTTTCCAGAGCACCTGGGTTCAATTCCTAACACCCACATGACAGCTAGCAACTGTCTGTAACTCCAAGATCTGACACCCTCACACAGACACACATGCAGGCAAAACACTAATGCACATAAATAAAAATAAATACATTTTTAAGAATTATTTTATGTGTATGTGTGAATGTCTGCAACTATGTGTGTACCTATCGTCCTCTGAGGTCAGAAGAAGGCATTGAATCTCCTGGAGTTACCAGTGGTTATAAACTAACATGTGAACCCTCAGAACCAAACCTGTCTGAACCTGTCCTCTGCAGAAACAGCCTGTGTTCCTTTTTCTTCTCTCTCTCTCTCTCTCTCTCTCTCTCTCTCTCTCTCTCTGTTTCTCCCGAGTGCTGTTAAAGGCATGCACCACCACCATCTAGCTCAACCTGTGTTCCTAACCACTGAGCCATCTTTATCTTTATTTCTCTCCCTTTATCTCTTCCTCCCCCTTTCTATTTCTCCCCTCTCTCCTTTCTTTCTTTGTAGCCAAGGTTAGCCTTGGAATATCTACCTCAACAATGATTTTATTGGGCTTACAGAGCTTGAAGGGTAATTCATAGGAACATGGGGGAGTCCAAAGCAGCCACAGTGGGAAATCTTCACCCTAGAGGGTTTCCCTTCTTCAGTTAACCTTTCCTAGCTTTTAACCTTGAACTTTTTTGATCCTCCTGCCTCAGCTTTCAGAGTGCTGGGATTAAGGCAGAAATCACTGCATCTCATTTTATTTTAGATTTTTTTTTTTTTTTGAGGAATGGTCTCATGTAGCTCAAGCTTCCCTTGAACTTGATACAGCAAAGGATGACTTTGAACTTCTGACTCTTCTACCTCGACCTCTAAGGGCTGGGATTATAAATGTGGTCTAATGTCTGGATTTATGCAGTGTGAGACATGGAACCGGGGGCTTCACAAAGCTAGGTGAGCTCTCTACCATTAGAGGTACATCCCTAGCCTTGGTTTTCTGTTTGTTTGTTTTTTGAGACAGACTCTTATGCTCTGACCTCGAACTCCCGATCCTCCTGCCTCTGCCCACCACACCTGAGTACTGGAATTGTAAATATGCACTACAGTACCTACAGATGATTACTATTTCAAAGGAGGGACCTAGTGCCTAAAGGGCAGTAGGAAAGGCTAAATGTCTAGGAGGCTCCAACTAGCCTGCTACATCTTTTCCAGTCCAAGCATAGAAAGACCTTGCTGTCTGCAACCCAAGATAGTCCTGTGGTAGATTTCTAACAGTTAAATACCATACTAATGGGAGCTGTGTGTTTGTGTGTGTGTGTGTGTGTGTGTGTGTGTGTGTGTGTATGTGTGTGTGTTAGTTTTATTCCTTGACACAGGTGTGACAGGGACAAAGTTTAAAGCTTCCTTGGAACCTCTGACTGACTTCATCCTCAGCAATCTTAACACCAAGCCAGTCTTTGTAGATGATGAATAAATTGAGCCCAGAGACAGGCCAGTTTGAGGTCAAACTGCAGAAAACAAGCAGCAAGCCTGTCCCAGCCTGCCCTGTCTGCAGGATAAAGCTGGTTATCATCATGACTATGGGCACTTGCTTCCTGGTGTCACAGCACTGCTGCTGTGGTTAAAGAGAGGCTCCATGTGACCAACTAAGTCATTATTCACAAGGGAAAAGTCAAGCTTTTCAGGATTCGATCTCTGACTCTTACTTGCCTTACCCACGGGGATAGCCCAATGAAGCAAGGGTCACTAGACTGCTCAAAGCTCTTCCTTTGTCCACGGGCTGCCCCTCCCTAGGCCATGCCCGAAGGCCTACCTTGTGATGTCGCCTCTTCCTCCTAAATCGAAGCAGCTCCTTGTGTTGTCGAGACACGAAGTTCACGGCCGCATATTCCAGCAGGGCCGAGAACACGAAGAGCAGACAAACAGCCATCCAAATGTCGATAGCTTTCACATAGGACACCTAGAGTGAGGGTGGGAGAGAGCATGGGGAGGTGAGTAGAGAGGAAAAGGTCCTGAAATATTGCATGGAAGATTCCAGAAATAAGCACTTTGTAAATTTTAAGCCATATAATGTTCTGAACAGTGTGATGAACTCTTGCGTCATACTTCTCCATCCTGCAAATAACAGAGGCGTATCCACTCTGTGTACACTACCCTTCTACCAGTCATGGAGTAGCCATGCGCATTATCAGATTGACTGTGGCCAAAGCTCAATTCACTTGATAATGGCTCAAAGCACAAAAACAGTGATGTTGGGGATTTGGATAAGACAAGAAAAGCTACAAAAGGCTGCTTTTAAGCAAAACTGTGAAGTTCTCAATTTAATATGGAAAGAAAAATATACTTTGCTGATATTGCTAAGATCTACATCCTCAACAAATTTTTATTTAAAGAAAATTTTAACTGTTTTATTTTACATGTTTGTTTTTTATTTTATATATTTACATAAAGGTGTTTGACCCGCGTGTATGTCTGTGCACCACATGCTTGAAGTTCCTGAAGAGGGCAGAGAAGGCACAGGATCCCTTGGAACTGCAGTTACAGATAGTTATGAGCTACCTTTGGGTGCTGGGAATTGAACCTGGGTTGTCCACAAAAGCAGCCAGTGCTTTTAACTGCTGAGTCATCTCTCTAGCCTAAGAATACATTTTTTAAAAAAGATTTATTTTTAAATTATATGTCTGTATGTATATTTGCATGTGAGTGTAGTATCTGCAGAGACCAGATGAGGTCATCAGATCCTCTGGAGCTGGAGTTAGATAATTATTAGCTGCCCAGTGTGGTGCTGGGAACCGAACTTGGTCCTCTGCAAGAGCAGCAAGCGCTCTTAACCACTGAGCCATCTGTCCAGCTCCACAGCAGAACACATGTGTCTACAAAATTATGGTACCTATAGGAAAAGATTATGGCATATAGGGTTTGGTACCACTGCCATTTTATGCAGTTGCCAAAAGGAGAGGATAGTGGTATGTCCCTAGAATATGATCCCTGTGGATAAGAGGAGCTTGTTGTATTGAGTATGGATGGGACATTGCTTGCTCTTCAGTAACTTTCCCCAATGCCCACCGCTCATCAGCTGGGATGTTTGGATGGGAGGAGCAGAGGAAGCTAGAAAAAACACATTGAACAAGCTGGGCAGACTATCAGGGAAAAGATGTGATGCTTACGGGAGAAGGGATGAGAGGAGGATGGTGCACCTCCATCGCCTCTGTTTGTGGAAAGGAGCATTGTATTTAGGTTTGAGAGGATGCTGGACTGAGCATGAAAGGATGTTGTTAGCAAACAGCACCATCAGAACCCTCGGGAACTGTCACTTCACAGAATCATTGACTACACTCACTGGCAGAAACTGCTACAGTCACATTACCTAGAAATCTGATGATTAACTACAGAGAGAATTAATTCAAGAAAAGCAGTTGATGGCTGAGCGATGGCTCTGTGGGAAAGGGCACCTGATGACAAGCCTGATAACCTGAGTTCAAACCCATGTGGTGGAAGCAAAGAACCAACTCTCCCTAGTTGTTCTCTGACCTCCACATAGACCCCTGTTTCTTACTTTTGCCTACAACACACACACACACACACACACACACACACACACACACACACCCCCACACCCACACACACACACACACCCCAAATGAACAAAAAGTAATTAACAACAATAACAATAAAAGCAACTGGATTTTGGAGAGACTAGCAAGTTCATGGCATTGTTTTAAAACTGTTGAAAGCTGGTATCTTTTACCTATCACTTCTCTACTTCCCTAACCCAGAAGATCAACTAATCCATTTCATGTTTCTGCTGTGGCTTCTCTGTTCTGAACATTGCAGAATTTATTGCAGAATTCCACTATGAGATAATATTACAACCTGTCTCCTTCTATGCCTGGCTTCTCCCACTTATAATATTTCTGAGGTTCATCTTATTGCTGCATGCAACAACAGCAGTTTATTTACTTTTAAAGGTTTATTTTATATTTATTTATGTGTATGTGCATGCATTTGTATATGTAGATGTACATGTGTGCAGGGCCTGTGGAGGCCAGAAGAGGTCATCAGTTGCTCCTAGAGCTGGTGGTTGTGCACTACCCTACATGGGTGGTGGGAACCCAATGGCAGTCCTCAGCAAGAGAAGCAAGTGCTCTTAACCGCTGAGCTGTCTCTCTAACCCCAGCAGTTTATTTTTATGGCTTAATAATATCCTATTGTATGGACACACAGCACTGTTTTTGTCTGTTCATTGGACAGTGGATATCAATCATCTCCACCTTTTGGTGAAACAAAGAGTGATGCTGTGATCCACTGGGTAGAGTGGCTGCATACACGAATTCATTTCCCTGGGGCTTTGGGAGCTTTAACTTGCTCTGCTCCTATCCTCACCCTCTAGACCACAGTAACCTTGAAAGTCAGAAGCTGGAAAAGCACAGCAATAACTAACCACCAGGCAGCCACTGGAGAGGGCAGAGGAGCCACTTCAAGCCGGTTCCCAGGGCCCTGCCCTCCTCCTCTGGCCTCTCTAGCTGTTCCCTTAGAACTCCTACACACACGCTGCCTTTATTTGACCTGATTTGGAGTGGGCCCATTGGGAACAGTTTTCATTTGATTCTTTTTAATCTGGGGGACATTTGTTGAAAACAATTAGTGGCAATTGCTATCAGAGGCACTGAGGCAAAACAGCAGGTTAATCAAAAAACTAAAGAAGGGTCTGGGGATGTAGCTCAGTAGTGGGGCACTTGCCTGGCAAGCTCAAGGGCCTGGGTTCAAGCCTTGGCCATGTTAAATGAAAAGTCAGGAAAGTGAACTGTGTCATGAGATGTCACAGTAGGCTAATCTGTGAGTGCCCAGGGACAACCCAGGACTTCCTGACCGCTGAGCAGGAAGTAAAGGCTGAAGGCAAGCTGTAAACTGCCTGGCTAATACTGACTCTAACAGACTCTCTCAGGAGGAGATGGGGCCATTCATAGGATCTGGACATTCCATAAAAATCTGTGTGGTTTTTGGTGTGGCCACCAGGCTGAGTGAACCAGACTTCAATAGTTGACATAACAGAGAATACAAGGTTCACAGAACCAGTTCAGACAAAGTTAAGAACAAACATCAACAACAAGTCCTTAGGGGGTAGAACCAGAGTTCCAAAAATTGCCCTGTTGTATTATGTAATATGAGCAATTTATAAGGTGTGCAAAACAAACAACCAACTCAAAATAAAAAATAACTCCCCCACCAGAAAAATATGATCTGGTTACAGGAAATAAGGTAGGTAAAAGAGGTGGCACCTGAGGAAACCAGACCTCAGACTTACCAGAGACTTAATTATTTTATTTTACTTTTAGTTATGTGTATGCATTATGTCTGTGTATGGCACGTGCACAAGAGGCTAGAGACACTGGATCCTCTGGGGTTGGATTCATAGGAGGAAGCTAGAAATTGAACTCAGGCCCTCCAGAAAGAGCAGTGAGAGCTTTTAATCTCTAAACCATCTCTCTAGTCCCTTTATTTTGTTACTTTTGAAGATAGGATACCATATAACTGGCCTTGAACTTGCTGTATGGCTGAGGATGATTTAGAACTCCTGATGCTCCTGTCTCTGCCTCTAGAGGGCATGTGTGCCACTATCATACAGAGAAGAAAAGACATTAAATTAGCTGTTTTAAATGCATTCAAGCAATTGAAAGAAACTACACAGGAATCTGAGCATAGTGGCACACACCTGTAGTCCCAGAACTAAGGAGGAGGCTGAGGGTGGAGGATCACCCATGTATTCAAGGCCAGCCTGGGCTACAGAGTGGACTCTGTCTCAAATAAAATGAAACAACACAAAGAAACTAAAGGGAAGGTTGAGAACACTCTCTTGTCAAACAGAAGATGTTACTATAAAGGTAGAAATTGTAAGAGAACCAAATGAATACTCTGAAGTTGAAAGTAAGTAATTAAGATGAGAATTTCACTAGAGGAGACAACAATGAATGTGAGGAGTAGAAGAAAGCACCAGAGAACTTGGAGAAGAGTCAGAAACTTTGAGATCATGAATCTGAGGGGAAGAATGCGGGGAGAAGAGCAGAGCCACAGAGACTCATGGGAAACTGCCAAAGCCACCAACACGTGATGACCAGAGCCTCAGAAAAGACAAAAAGAGATAGAAAATTT